TTAGCAAATAGAAATAATGTTGGTGATCCTAACTGACCTGAAACAGGAAAAGTTTAGTCACATTTAATGTCAGACAGTAAGAAAAAAAGTTGTATGTCTCTTTATACAGTGAATGTAAACTTCTGGTTTGAAACTAGTCTGTTGTCGACACCGCTGCATAATGAAGGCAGCATTTAACTGTTAGAGCTGCTTCAGCTTTGAACTACTTTAAGGAACCTGAGGTAAATATCATGGGTTCAAATGGGAAATCTGGACAGTTTTCATTTTTTGTTTACTTTTTAAAAATCCTGGCGTTCCTCTTGAAATCCTGGACAATGACCCTTTTGAGCGTCAGGCAATGAAAGTATCTGAAAAGCTCGAAGCGCAACACTTGGATCAGTGCGCTTCGTCTGTTTTAGTGGTGGAGGTGGATTCAGATCCTTCAGTTAAAATAAAGTCTGAATATCGCCCTGAAAAAACACTCTGGTACATGCAGAAGTCCTGCATTAAAAATGTTGCTCCAGTAGAAGTATGATTAAAGAAATGCACTTAAAGTATTAAAGGTATAAAGATGGATCATTCCAGTACCATTACCCATGCATTAAAATAAGAGCTGGTTGAGGTGGAACTCAACTTTACCTGTTCCAGACAGGGCTGCAGCTCATGACTATTGTTTATTATGGACCAGTCTGCTGATTATTTTAATGACTACGCGACTGTTTGTTTGCGTTGTAAAAACACAGTTTACAAGTATAGTGCTCGAGTACAAATACCTTCACTGGAAGCAGAGGAAACGTTGTTGACTTTTACAATTGTGGCTGCAAGAGAGTCACCGTCTACTGACAGTGTGTCTTTGCCTCCAGGTGCTGGTGGTGTGTTTGGTCATCCTGGATGCCATCTTTGTCCTGGCAGAGCTGCTCATAGATCTGTCCGTCATTAAGCTGGAACATGGCCACATTGCTCCCGAGGTGAGATGCAGAGTTTTCCTCTCAGTCCATGAGCCTTCTGTGTGGGGTAACTAACGGATGTTGGTGTTCCACAGGTGTTCCACTACCTGAGTCTGGCTCTTCTCACGTTCTTCATGGTGGAGCTGGCTGGAAAGCTATTTGCTTACCGTCTGGAGTTCTTCCAGCACAAGTTTGAGGTGTTTGATGGTCTGGTGGTGGTGGTGTCCTTTGTGTTGGACATCGTCTTCATCTTCCACGAGGATGCCTTTGATGGGATGGGCCTCCTCATCCTGCTGCGACTCTGGAGGGTGGCCAGGATTATTAACGGTCAGTGCTGCTCACTTCCTAACGCCGTGTACAGTTGATGTTTTTCAAAAAAGATCTAAGAACGGTTCCTTCAAGTTGTTCTTTTTTCATTGTTGATATCACAGTGTAAATTGCATTAGGGTTAGAATGTAACTCTGGACCCCTTGGCTCTGCCCCTGCAGGTAGTGGACAAAATAACAAGAACACCTAATACAAAGCCTTTTTAACGTATACTACAGCCCCACACCTATCCAGCAAACACACATCCAGTTAGCCAGAGCTTTTATGATAAAATGCATTTCCTCAGTCTCAGAGAAGTGCATCCCACACAGAGGGCAGTGCAGACGCTATGTGTAGAGGTGACTATGTCTGAGTTTGTTGCAGGGATCCTGGTGTCAGTGAAGACCCGAGCAGACCAGAGGATCCACAAGCTGAAGGAGAGCTACGACCACCTCGTGGAGAGAGTCACGCAGCTGCAGGAGCGCAGTGATAAACTGGTAATTTCATACGCCCTCCTCAGACCAAATTAGATCTTAAATCAAGGTTCAGGGGCCTGTGTTGTGGCAACAGGTGTGGTGTCTGGTTGGCACATGTCCATATCAGGAAATGAATGTGTTACTGTTGCAGCCTAAAAAGAAAGCATCCAAATGTGGGTCACACCAAGAGGACAGCACAACTTGTCTGTCTGATAGCCCATGTTTTGCTTTGTCGAGTAGTAGCTGTGTGTGATTGCTTATTGGTCCATGTCACAGAACACGCTGTCGAAGTTGTCATACTTGACGACAAATTCTGACGGGCTAGTCTTTTAATCAGGAGGCGTCCAAGATGCATCGTTGGCTGTCATCAAGTACAATACACAACACTGTATAAACCTATATCGCTCTCTAACCTGTCCTTCTGGTCAGCCTCTGTTCACGGAGATATCATGCAGTGTGACCCAAGGACAGCGCTTCCTAAACAACTGTCTGGTTCTAGAGCTTTACATTAATGTCACAATGTGATGTTTTCTCACGGTTCAAGTCGTAATGAAGTGACACGACCGGCAAGTGGGGGTGCACAAAATAACTGTCAGTGTAAAAATGCCAATTCATGGTTTCCACCTGAGCAGTGTGGACTTTAAAAGTGAGCAGTGAGTCTACATGCAGTTGTATTAATACTGCAATAGGCACTCATCAGTCTGGAACAGAGAAATACTCCGGGCTCCCGTGGACGTTTCTGAAAGGCTGGGACTTTGCACTTTTTACAGGATATAGCAGTTAGTCTGCATCCTATAGTTTAATCAACACATCTTTGAGACTGTTTTAACCAACTCTGTGTGGTATACTGAATACACCTAAAGCATACTGTCTCTAATTTAAATATAAATGATGGATTTTTACTGACACTGTTACCATTCACTCAGGTTTTAGTCCTCTTGTTTATTTCGTACATCCTCCCTGCATAAAACTACATCCACATGTATGACTAGAAGTTGCTGTTACCTCTCTTTGTATATTGTGCTAATGCTCTGTCATGAAAGCTTTGGCCTGACAGCAACGTGACTCTTCTCTCTGTATTTTAGGCACAAGAAAACCAGAAGCTGCAGGCCCTTCTGAAGCAGCACGGCATAGACTTCTAACTCATCCAGCTAAACGTTGCGGCGCTACTGTTCACCGTCATTCAGATCCTCCACCTTTCTGCACCCCTTTTTAATCCTGTCACAATCTATACTGTGTGATAAACCTTTATATTACCCCTGATCTCATTATCCCACCGACCTTTATTGTTGTATAAGTAACTGTAGAGAGATTATGTTTTTTTTTTTTGAGAATCTGCATTTATAGATCCACACACAGTCGTTGCTGTCATTGTATTGATGGAAACCACTTCAGGTTGTGTGATTATCCAATGAATTCCAGATATATAGAAGCTACTGGATGTTGTTCCATGAAGTTTAACACACTTGTAAATATGTGAAATCTTTCACAGACTGATAAATGTGTACATACAAATACATTTATATCTGCTTAGTGGGATTTCAAAGTACTGTATGTTGTGCAGAGCAGATTTAAAGAAATGATTTCAGTGACGGATACATGAATGAAATAAATAAGTGATTTCATTTAAATCTCACAAAATCGTATGTACATCATTTACACAATATACAAGGCAGGACACATGTCACATACTGCGTACGGTAAGTGTTTCTGTACACCGGTGAGTTGGATCAGACGAAAGGAAAGAAGAAGTCAGAGGGCAGTTGGGCATCGATGGTGGGTGTGGCTCTGTAACCAGGAAGAGCAGCAGCAGACACTGGTATGAACGCCACCGAGCTTCTGATCGGCAGGACGCTGCTGCCTCCCGACAACAGGGCCTGCAGGAAAACACACAAAGAATAAATATTAGACCACTTCATGATTTCTCTGTACTAAAACCCATGTTGTTTGTTTCTGAAGCTGTTTTCACACATAGCCTGTTAAATATTCAGATTGGTTTGGTTCACTGAGGCGAGTGAG